TTTGTACCCACAGCTTGCCACAGTTCCCATAGTTTTGGTGTTCCTCAATGCCACCTCTCCTGTGGCAGCAGCTAGTTCGCCCCTGCAATGCAGCTGGTGCCATTTCCTTCTTTTTCAAGAAGCTGAGGAGTCAGCATCTCCCCTGGGCAAGATCCTGGCTCTTTGTTACACACATTTTTTTCCTTTCATTTTGTACCTTTTCTCTTTTCTCCACAGAGAGGTTTCTGCCCTGATCAAGAAGGGGAGACTGGCAACATTTCTGTCAGATCCTTTTCCCTTTAGCTTCCCTTCAGGAGCTTCTTCCCTTCTCTTCTGGCTCCATAACCAGTGCAATTACCTCTCTGATGATTTCCTGGATTTTCCATCTGCTCGAAATAGGCACTTGTGAGCTCTCTTGTTAATTAATGTGTTCTAAAATCATTACGTTCATCAACCAAGCCTTATCACTTCTATTTTTTCCATAATAGTAAAATCTGTTGCCCTAAGTAAAACACAGGTATAATGACATTCAAAATTTAGTAAACTCAGTTTTGAACAGAGGCTAATTGCTCAAAGCAGAAGTTGCTACTAACCTGGAGTCTCAACAAGGCATGAGCACGCTGTACTTACTTGTTACTAAGGCTTTGCACCCTCTGCCTCAAACTGACAGAATTTCAGAGATTTCTGTTATAAATTATTTTTGCAGCTTTGGAGTCTGACTCAAAACACTCTCTCTACTTCAGTCTGCATTGGGTATTTTGTTAACTGTATTTTAAGCTGTGCCAGCTTTTGCTATATACTATTACTTGTGTTCTTCCTGACTGGCAACGAAGTATTTTAGCAAAGGCGTGTATAAACATTAATCTGTGACTTGGGTAATAAAACTGACAACTAGGTATAAAGATGTCACCCACAGATAACTTTACCGAATTTGTCACATACGGTTTGGATGGAGAAACAAGTTCCCTATGTGGTACTTAGCGGACACACAACACCCCAAACCTAACAGAACTGAGTAGAGAAAAAGACCTATCAGATCTTTTAGTTCTGCATTCTGATAAATTTGGTAGCAAAGGCACTCCACAGTTTGAGTGTTTTTATACGAAGCAAAAGCCCCTAGTAATTGCATCCAGGGAGAAAACGAAACACTGCTTAGACTCAGAGAAATGCTTCTGCTTTGTGTGCTGCCTAACACACAATCTTATTTATATTTTAAAGTTGAGAGCTATAAAAAAGAGATATCTTCTATCCCACAGCCTACGCAGATCTAGGCAACCTCTTGGATGACAAAAGACGCAAACAATTCACTTCTCACTACACAAGATAACAAGGTAACTCTTACTTATATAAGTGCAGTTACATTACCATTTTTGGCCACCAAAAGAAAGATTATTTACCAGGAACCACATTTCTTTGAAATACATTGCTCACATATATGCTGGTATTGCAGGTGTTCTTATTACAAGCACCTCTCCAGATGCCAGTTTTGCCTCGTCAGTACCTGCAGGCGTGTTCATGCCCGACCTCATCCTGCAGCCATGTCAACGTTGAGCTTGTCCTATGGTGCCAACCCTCGCTCAACGCTAGGACCTGAGTCCTGCAGTCCTCAGGAGAGTCCTCATCTTTCCAGGAGAGAGGGGAATAAGAGCTTGGTAGCAAATGTATCTGATGCTTCTGCTGAGCATGTCAGTCCTGAAGGTCATCTACAGGATGGGGATCTTGCTCCATCCAGCCCATTGACGTGATGATGTAAATATGCCGTTACCTGGGCAAGCTCAGGCAGTGGGAGAGCTCATAACCTGCATTTGGCACTGCTACGAATCCCAGCTAACAAAATGCAAAGTTTGTGAGGCTGTTGGATTGCCTGGGTGAAGTTCCAGTCCAGAATGAGAAACATCAACAATTATCTTTCAAGGCGAAGGGGTCAAACACAACTGCGTCTCCTGACAGAAGCGGGGGTGCAGGAGGTGGCCCAGCCAAAAGCAGAGGGGTGACAGCAAACAGTCACAACCCTGGCTGGGAGGGTCTGTTCCTAGAGCCAGGCACGCGGAGGGGTGCAAGCACAGCCTTACATGAAGGGAAACATAAGTGCAGGGTGCCATATGGCTCAGAACTGCCAGACATGTCCTCAACGTGATGACAGGACCTGCCTGTAATTGCCTCACCAGTTTTTCCACTGCATGAAAAGTGCTCCTGTGGGAGATAAGCTTTTGCTGATACTGTTTGCTGGCAGGCTCCAGGAAATTCAGTAAGCTGTGTCAGGAAAAGGAAGGACTTGCTTCACCACGAAACCCAGGGAACTGAAAACTTTACGTGCTGTCTCTAGATCTTGAAGGACTTGCATCTTCAGTGATCCCTCCAGCAGCCAGTTCTCCAACAAAGATTGAAGAGGCTAAATCCCACGTTCTGAGATGAACCGAAGTCACAGCCCTGAAAAAGTCTCATAGTGTCACGCAGAACCTTGTGTGCACAACCTCATGACCCAAAGACATTTCAGATGAGACTGCTTGAACGTAAGCACCCTGCGAGTCAAGAGCATTGCCGCAGTTGGCTGAGCTGACTGATTTCTAGAATGCCCTGGCTCTGAGATCCCCTGGGATCCTAGAGGGAGCCCAAATATATCAGCAGTATTTCTCTCTGCAGGTGTGTGTGATGCCTGGCCTTCATGCGCAGCAATGAAACCTCTTACTGGTGGTTTTGTACGTGACCCTGCTCCAAACTAACGCAAATCAAGAGATACGAGATAACGAAAATAAGTTTAGGCAGAAGGCTGCACTAAAATGAGGAATAAATGAAACAAAAAAATGAGCAAAAGCAGGCAGAGAGAACAGGGCATCAGTGTGCCGTGCTGCTCCTTCACAGCAGCAGAAAAACGAATAAAACCCAGTACATATTTAACAAAGTGGTAAAAGTAAATTACATAAAAGAGGGAAAGGTGCCCATAAAACAGAGGTGCAACGCAGATTTTTCCTAATGCTTTGGCAACATAACGACACACCAGAACATCCAAGCTGGTGGAAGAGCGATAGGATACACCCTGTCCCTCCAGGGCTGCAGGAGGGTGAACAGAGGAGCGTGGCCGAGATGGACTGCGAGCACACACAGCCCTCGTGCTGGAGCACGCGCGATACGAGCACCCCCGGCGCGCACGGACAGACAGATGCACGCTTGGAGGAGAAGGCTGGATTGCCTTCTGAGAGACATTAGTGCCGGGACTCCCAACAGGCTGTCTGCCAAGGGGGATAATTAAGCTAAATAAAAATACACAACAGTAACAGCTCCGCAAATGAGGATAATTCAATTACCACATTCGATATAGGAGACCCACTTCCCATGAGTTTTCCATCGTGACCAGAGAGGAGACAACAGCAACAGAACGTGCTGCAGAAAGGAAGATTCATTTACTAAAAAGAGGCTTTCTATTAGGGTCTGCATATTAAACAACATCACAGCTTTCCATAATCATGTCATAATCTTGCCATAAAACGCAATCAAAGCAACAGCTTGTGAGCGTCCAAAAAATCAATGGAACCATATGAGAAATGATTGCAGATGTAATACTGGAATTTATTTCAACGCTCAATCCACGGTGGTTGTAAGGAGCATCTAAGTAACAGGGAAGCAAGTGTCCTGCAAACACCTCTTAGGCAAGAGCTCCTCTCCCTCAAATTCAGAGGCAACACAAACAGTAGGCAAACTACAGTTCACTTAATACTACCCATTTGTTTGATTTTTGGCAAAAGAGGTCATTTCTATCCACTCACCTTCCTAAAATAAAATAGTTGTTACACCGAACAGGGCATAGCCTCATCCAGAACCCCAACCCAGTAGTGTAGTTTCACTGAGCTGAATTTCAAATACAAGAGCTGCAGATTTGGCTGTATTCATTAGTGCTGAAACACAACAAAGCACTAACGTGCTGGGCTTCGGAAAAGCTTTATCCACTGCGGAACGCACCGCCGGGGTGCTCGTCTGTTAAAGCGAGAGAGAAGCGAAAATATTTTTCCTCCCCTTCTCTCTCTAGTGAAAACACTTAGTGGACAGCACAAGCTCAGTTCTTTCGAAAGCAATGGAGCGAGTGTATCCACTCAATTATTTAAAACAGTTGAGTAATTGCAGTCCTGTCAGCTCGGAAAACATCTCTCTGTTAAAGCTGCTGCACAAAACCATTTCTGTGCAGGCGGTCACAGGAGCACTAGTTTTTTCTTTATTTATTTCCATGTTCTCCGAGTCAGAGCCGCTGGATGAGGCTGCATGCCCCCGTTCGCAGCTGGTTTTGCCGCAGGGTAAAACTCGGTCAGTAGGAGGAAGGAGGGAAGGAGGGAGGGAGGTGGGGGCTCCTTGGGAGCTTTTTTGGAAGTGGCAGGTTTATGTGTGGGCTGCGCTGGTTGATGACTACATAAATCCTTACAGAAATCTCTCAGGGCATGGTGTGTGCTGGAGATAAATAGTACAATGGTAGGATCAAGGGAAAATGGATTCGGACAGTCAGGAGAGTCCAGGGATGGAACAGCACTGGGCAGAAAGTCCTCTTGCTAAAGACCCTCTGGAGAAGCTCCTGTAGCAGGGGTTAGAGGATTGGGAGGTTGCCACGTTTGCCTCCCACAGATTCCAATGCACAGAGGAAAAACACCAGAGGTATGCAAGGCTCACTAGATGTTTCCTCCCTAGCCCCACGACACACAGAGAATCACAGCTCCGGTGCACGCGCCCACCAACACCACTGCTTCATCGCCCTGCGCTCAGTCCTGTCCCGTCCCAAAGCGCGCGGCTCGCCTGCTCCGTCAGGGGTTGCAGGACACAGAGCAAGAACCACCAGACCGAGGAGTGGAGCCAGAGATACGTGCACATCCACCTCACCCAACCATTTGCAAACACAGGTTTGTTCCTTTCTTTTTACTACTCTCACCAGTAACGGCTTTCAGGAACAGTTTCAAGCAGGTTGCAAGAACCAGCTACCAAGGCAAACAAATTATATAAAGCAGCACTGAGAGTTTTCACATCCTCGTTAACTGGCTCACCTTAATGGGTACTTCTCTCCAGGGTCCCTCCCCAGGTGGAAAAGCAGCGGCAGCGTAGTGTGCTCCTCCTGTGTATGTGTTGTCACTCCAGAGACGTTCTGTCCAGGACAGAAATCGATGCCCTGCAGTGAAGAGGACAGATGTCATCAAGGGTGAAGCAGGAGAGGGAGCAAAATTTTAGCTGATGCCACTTTCTTCAGCACTGTGTTCCAATATACCCACAAACACCAGAGTTATTTTAAACAGAGAGTCCACTTTGGTCTGCAAAACAGATTCTGATCTGATGGGGTAAAATAAGGTGACAATGTTGGCATCGCACGGACACAAAAGCTGAAGCAGGCCTTACGTTCTTGCCTTATAAAAAAGTAATCTCTATAAAACATTCGTTAAAATGAAATGGCAAAACAAAAGACAAAGAGGTGAAACCATTTAATCGTAAAAATTCTGCACGTGGAAAGTGTCTTCTCTCTTTGCTTTCTACGGCTTCGAAATACACAGAGAGGATCGGATCACTTGACATATCGGATGGAAAAGCAACAGTCCCAGGAGAGATGTCCAGCCAAACTAAGGGGCATCACCCTGAGAGGCGATGGGCACCTGCAAGCCTCCCTGAAATTTTGGCTTGCCAGCACCTGACAGCAGACCTGAAGGATCTGTTTCACTGAAGAATGAAGCAAACCTGGCTAATTTTTAAAGAAACGGGTGCATTTGTTGATCTGATTCACAGCAAGCTGGTATTGAGGCACTCACCTGGGAACGACGGTGGGGCTGAAAGCACTGCATTAAGTCTGGAGACATTCCCGTCACTAACATTCAAGTCTACGGGGTCAGAAGTCGGGATTTTCCCAGCAGCGACAGTGGACATGAAGTGCACAAGTACTGGGACTCTCCCTTTGCCAGCAGCAACGGGTTAAAGTGCCCGCTGGCCACCAAGGGACGGAGCGAGCCGCCTGCTCGCGAGCTCTGTGCGCCTGCCCTTGCTCGCCTTGCCAGGCTGCGTCTCCCGAAATCCAGCCGGTTATTAGCCAGGTGTGGAGCTCCCTAATCACCTGGAGCCTGGCCTGCGGTCTGCAGGGCTAACAGAACCCATTTAAGCCCTGGGAATAGCGAAAAATGCAAAGCACTCATTTCACTGAGCAGCAAATAAAGCAGGGGGCCCCGCAGACCAGCGAGGACCAGCACCAAATGGACTTGTTAAAGCTCCGATTTACAATTCCGGCTAACACGCTGCGCTCCTTACAATACCTCCAAACGCCCCGAGACACGGACACAGACATGGAGAGAAGGTAAATGGGAATATTTCAATGGAGGTGGGAAAGCAGCTGTAGCATTTGCTTATAAAACAAACAAACTGAATAGGTTCTTTACAGATGTTGGTAGGATTTGATCGGCAAACAATTTTCTAAAAATATCCCGTGTTTTTAATGGACAGCTGGTCAGTGGAGCAGTTAATATTCTGCTTTTCAATAAAGCAAGAAGTTTAGAAGCCCATGAAATCCCATTTATCTGCACAGAGCTATAGATTCCTGAATCACTGACTGGAAAAATAAGAGAGTTGCTTGATAGGTTGTAGTGGCCCACCAATAATGGACTTTAAATGGATACAAAAATGATTGACCTTTCCACCTTGTGACGCCACAGGCCTCTGAAACACGCAGTGAAAAATAGATTTATTTTTTTTTCCCTCTCAAAAGGAACAGTTACTGAAAAGGTATCAAAGCCTACATAACAGCCAAATTATAATTTGGATGCAAATCAAACAAGCAATTTAATTAAGAGCCTGCTAATTGGTACAATGCTCTTCGGCTGCAAATGATTTAGTTTGAAGGAAGATTTCAGTCTCTTGGGTATTTGTTTATACATTGCTCTGTTTACATTTTATCTTTTCTTTCTTATAAAATCCTTGTGGCTGAGACTCCAGAACACAGCCCAGGCTACATCCCAAAGACTCCCAGGGAAGAAAGTGCCATGACAACTCGCCTGATGCCACTAGCCAAAAGCTATCTGTCCTTCTAATCTAAGCACTCAATGCCCTCTTCAAAAACAGTCTACTAGAGAAAAAATAAATAACTTTAACAAAAAAATCAAGCATACCATTTTATGACATTGATAAACAACTCTCTTAAAATACAGCTGAAACCACCCTTTAAATTTCTAAGGCCTTTCAACTTTATCTCTGCAAATAAAATTGACCATTATTATTTTTATGTACCGTGTGAACGCCACTATTCAACCTACAGAGAGAGCTTAAAATATTTTCCACCTGCTCATCAACAAATTAGCAAAATATAAGTGTAAAATTATATCCTCACACCCCTGATCAAGACATTGTCCGGCATCACAGTAATGCACTCCAGATACAGCCAGAGAAGCCTCGTCTTCTGTCCCTTTGACAGAAAGAATATTTAACTCATCATCCACAACTCTATCTCATTCTGTTTTGTAAGTTGAAGCATTTTCAGTTCTCTGGTTGGGAAGACAAAACTCAGCTATAGCAGTGGACTGACAGTCTGGGATCCCCAAGTCCAAAATCAGACAAAGAGATCTCAAAACCAGCATCAACTCAATCTGCTTCAGATCTGAGAAGCATTTAAAGACGAGACAATCCACACTCTGGAGCATCTGGACAATACCTCTGGTTGCCCTGGTGCAAATTTTGTCACGTGTGGTGCTGGGAGCTGGCGTGGAGGGACGTGCCAAAATTCCCTGTGCCTGTCTTGGATGTGAGAGTAGGAGCTGCCCTCCAGCTCTGCCAGCCCAAGGCTGCAGGACAACAGGCCTGGTGAGGAAGGGGACTCTCTTCTAGATGATAATTTTAAATCATGTCACCATTTTGGATCATTTCTTGCTCTTCATTGAACAAAACTTTTTTTTTTTCCTCCTTGTAAAAGCCTGAGCTGACCACATGCTTCATGGACCTCAAGAACACCACAGGCTTTAAGAATAAACGCGAATGTGCCAGGTTCCCAGCTGGAGCGAAAGCCAAATCATCCACGGGCTGCACAGAAGCTTTCCCCATTTATACTGATGAGGGACCAGCTTCAGGTCTCTGGCACTGCCAGCAGGATGGCAGCTTCACCCAAAAATAAAGTTATGTTACGTGGGAGAAGAACAAAGAGGCAGCTATGCCTGCCCTACCTCCAGGATAACAGAACCCAAACCCACTGCCCCTTCATCTGCTCTTATTTCCTTTAAGCTATTTATTTGGCAGACTATTAATAACAATATGCATGGTTAAAGCACATGCCTAATATTTCACTCTGCACACCATCCAAGGTAATCTGCATGTTTACAGGTAACCCTGCTCAAACAAAGGAGAAAGGTCACTCCCCGTGTTTAAGGGAATTCTTGGATCTTTTCTCTGCAATTACAAAAGCATGAAAGCCAAACCAGAAGATCCTATCTAGAGCACGTCAGCTCTGTGCCTTCTCAGGGAGCCCGTAAAAGAGCATCAGATGGCACCCAGAAATAGCTCAGCTCCTGCACCCGGTCTCTCTTACACAGGCACAGTGCTTTGCACCACTGCGCAGACCTGTTTGCTTTAGGAGAAATTCCAGCAATCTTTTTTTTTTTTTTAAAAAAAAACCCAAAACATTTCCTGCACATCAGGTAAACCTTTCAGCGAGCACGTCTTTCTGCCCTTCTCCCCAGCAATCGTGTAACCTGGATTTTTTTTTCCCGTTCCTAAGATCCAGCGGCTATTGGTTGCGCAGCTTATGCTTTAATTTCCAGAGCAAATGGACCACAGATGCTATGTCAATATAGACATGAGACAAATACAGCCGGTTGCCAGTTTGGGCTCTCCGCCAAGTGATGGAATCACCACTTGTGTTAACGTAAGCCCTCTGGCAATTCGTCACCCTGGCGCTATCCCAGATCCCTCCGACTTGACAAGCGGCTGCAGGTTTTGATAGTGGCGCAGCAAATCTGGGGTCTGTCTCCTGGTCATGTCTCCTCGTTCCACCACACCAGAGCAGCAAAACTGTCTTAATATCGGAAGGAGAAAAGAACAGCAGTTAATTAAAGCCAGGAATGTTGTTTCTTGTTTGCCACAGGACGGGCAAGCGGCTGTTCTCACTCTCCTGGCAACTCCCAGCAAAAGCCTCCCAAACTGGAGCTCGGAATGACCAGACACCTGAAAGCGTTGACTGCCAAGCTCCAACCCTGTTGAACAAAAATTGCTTCTAATGTGTTAACTGTCTGGAAGAGCCCCCGGAAGATGAGCAGATCAGCGAGGCTCCGGCGGCTCTCAAGCAGAAGCGATCAATGGCTAGCTCATATGCTCAGAGGGCCACAATCAAATGTCATTATTTGTGAGGTTCTACTTGACTTCACATCCCCCTTGCAGAAAAGGCTTTATCGATCCCTTCTCCTGGAGGAGAAGGGCAATCAGACAGACTTCGGCAGGAATAACCCCTTTGGCATTTTACATTAAAACAATAGGGTCTCCTGGCAGGCACCTACACCAATCATTTAAAGACACAGGAGCTCTCATGAAGAATCGCTGAGGACTACTAACAAGATACTAAGCTGACAGCAGAAAGGTTGATGTTATCAGCCACTCTCCAATGAACCAACGGGCGTTTTCCATGTTTTTTCGTAATTATTTTTCCCCTTCTTGCATCACTGCTCTTGGAGGGCACAAGAACTAGTCTCTGCTGGGTAGTCTGTCCAGGCAGAGAGAAGGAAATTTCGTTTCTCCTGCTAGCTCGTACTCCTGCCTCCTCTACGTAGCATTAAATTAGGCAATTCCTGAAAGACTTGCTGGCTACTCAGATAAATCCATAAAGAATAATCATTTTTCCCCCTTTCAGACCTCTCCTTCCAAACAAGGAAGACGAAATGTACCTCTCCCTTCAATCCAGTGGATGAAATAACTCACAAAAATGCAGACTCCGAGCGTTTGTCTTTCAGGAATGGGAAGCTGTGCACCCAGCATCATGGCTGTGGGCACCAGCAGTGATAAAACAGAAACACCAAGTTTGCCTGCATTATTCGTCATGTGTTTTGCAATCCAGTTCAAATTTGGTAACAAACAAGCACGACTTCTGGGCTAAAAGGACGGATGATGAGAGCAACAAGAACAGCATTTTACAGGAGACTTCCAGTAAAAGTCCTGCGTGTCTTATGCCGTAAAAGAGAGGGATCTCCCCAGGTTCATCCTTAGCTCTTAACAACACGTGTGGCTGTTTTTATCACTGCTGATTTTTGCTACAAGGAGAAAGGTGGTCAATGATGGTGGGAGAGGTTAGGCACTGATATCCACCAGTCCTTGAGCAACAGACACTCAGGTCTTGTGCAGGGTGAAGATTTCTCTCCCTCTACCAAACTATTTAAAAATCTTTTACTATTTAAAAATACAAATGTATTTTACAAGCAAAGTTTCCTTTCATCTACCTCTGTCCCATTTATTACCTCTTGAACGTCAGAGATGTCAAACTATGTAAATACGAGCCACCTATACGAAAGGAGATGGGAGCCAGGTAAACAGCCCTAAACAAGCATCTTATGCAATCCAAAGGAATAATGTCCCACAGAGTCCTTAATTTATTTCTGTTGAATGAGCCTTCCCTTTATGCTTTCAAGAGACTAACCATTCAAGAATGCAAGTCACCTAAGTAGTCAAGTGAAACCAGCAGAAAAGACAGCATCGAGGTATCCTCCAGCACTGAGAAAAACTACAAGAGTTTATGAGAGGAGTCAGACTAGAAAAAAATTGCTTGGGGGTTAAAAAAACAAAGGAAAAATAGGAAGAACAGAACAGCACGCTTCATCTTTGCGAAAGATGACAGATTTTAATCCCAGGCCGTAAGGCAGAGGATGCAGACCAGTAAGGGCATTTTAATGTCATGGGAGTCTAAGATGACTGTAAACCTGTGTACTGCTTGCATGGGATCTTTCCAGTGTAAATATTCCAAGTGCCATATGGAGAGAAGCATTCATATCCCTGTTCTGCTTTCCTAGGCGCTGCTTTCTGTAAGCTGCTTCTCTCTGGTACATTTTTATTTGCATATACATACTTTACTGCTTAAGTAACTTACACTGCATTCAGACACACAGCTTTCCAGGTTAGAGGCCAAAACTGCACACAATCTTCCTAGTTAATCCGGAAAGAGCTGGTAGTCCTGACCAGATCCAGGACATGCACTAATTTCATTTTTTTTTCCAATATCAACATCAAAATGCGGTCCTGGCTGCTTTAATGGTGTAATCTCATCTAAAAGTCAAACAAAAATGTACAGAGTGGATTAAAAGCAGTGCAAACTTTCTGTATCAATGATTTCCCACACTGTCAATTAACAAGAGAATTTTGAAAGTGAAAGGAGGTTTGGCTAAAACGTGCCACGTATCTGTCAAAATAATAAGATACTCAACTACCCATAAAATAAACCTCTTAAACAATTGCAGACAGCTGTTTTGACACACCTGCCCAACTTCAGATCTCCTTCGAACAGATGACATGCCAACCAGATGCATTTGTTGATTCCAGGTCTGAGTTTGGACCTTCAGACATAGAGAGTTTGATATTTGAAAGTTTAATAAATCATCACATTGGATTCACAATAAGATAAAGGACCCACAGTAAATATCATACAATTAACAAGGCCTCATTAGCTGAAGTTCTACTGGGATGGCAAATCAAACTTATCGAACTGCAAACCCGCCGGCAGTCAGAATTCCTGATGCCACAGACGCGCATATATTTAAATACAAATATGTTTTCAAAATGAAATTAGCAAACAAATTGGCCTTTTTGATTCTGGCAGCGTAATTGTGGTCCAACATCAATACAGCTGAGAACACCAGTCCCTGAAAGAGGCGACTGTGTCGTAAGGTGAGATTACAAAACTCCTGGAACAGGACTCAGAACTGTAGGACTGTTCTGCATTCTGATTTATTTCTATTTTTAAACTCGCAAGGCTTGTAATTAATGGCTCGAGGACATGAGGAGAATTGGAACAAATTTCAGCCTCAGCTTCCTCTGCATGTTGTTAATGGCTAGTCTGTCCACTAATGTGCTCCAATTTTACCCACATCAACCACATGTGATACAAGCTGCAGGAAAGCAAGTGAATTTTTAATCATCTCTCTGATGTACAGTATAATTGCTGACTTTTATCAGACAGTAGTTAAACAAAGACTTAGAAAGAAATAAATATTCCTTAATTGCACAACTGCCATTGCTCACAGTAGGAGAGCCTTTGAAATGAGTAACTGGTCCCCATTATCACGGCTACACACATACTCAGACAAGTACAAATAACTCTAGATCAATGTAGACGTTTATTTATTTCCCAACTAAGTCTGTAAGTGTGTGCATGTGCTCATATTGCAATGGAGAGCAATTATTCACGTGTGACATTATCTTCCATGCACATGGGAAAAGCACGCCTCTAAGCCCATTGGTATACCCATACACACGTACACACAGCTCCCAGTGCCTCACACTGGGAAAATCCTCTGCGCTGTGCCACGTGTGATATATGGGTTTTACTCGCATACTAACCTAGAAAAATACATTATCTCATTTTAGCTGCGTGGAATTAGCATTGAGACAGAGCGTGCAACGCATTTCTGGAGCCAACTTTCCTTTCCTTCTTACTCAGTGTAAAACAGAAACTTTGACTCCTGGAGCATTACAGTCTTTAAAAGAGAAACGCACATATTTACAGCCCTGAATGTAAATGACTCCCTTGGAGCTGACGTTTCCTTCTACCCCCAGGACATCCCAACGAAAGAAACCCTGCACTTTTACATCCACAAATGTCATCAGCACTTACTTCTGCACCTGTGATGCCTTGAGGACCCACCATAAGTTAAAAAAAGAGGAAAAAAAAAAAGGACATAAAAAAAATAAATCATACAAACAATCCCTCCCCAATACCAGCCTGCTGTCAAAATTGCTGAGAGCTATGCCATAACGCATTTAGTTCATGTCTAAAGGTATAATCAGCAAGGCACATGTGTGAACCTGCCATTCAAGAAATGCCCCAGAGTTTAGAACCCAAGTCTGAAGCAAGAAAGATACAAAAGAAGAAAAATAATAGTGCTTAACATCCAATTGTGAGCAGATCAGCCAGGAAATTACAAAAGCTGTGCCTACTTGGCAAATAAAATGTAAAACGTCTTATAGTGTGATACAGGCTCACAAAAGTGCTGATAATAGATTAAACACATGTACTCTACTGTTTTCAACAACTGCTGTTCTTTCCACTGTGTGGTTCCTACGACTTTTCTTTTCCCTTTCAAGAAAAATCAAACCAAACCAAACCAGTCCCAGTTCCATTTAAACACTTCAGGGCACCAGGTCTTTTGTACTAGATATCGTGAGATACATGAGCAGCTCAGCGCTGGACTCCAAACTTTCTAAGGGTACACATGAAAACGCAGAATTCAGCAGGGAAAGAAGCTTAATATTAAGGGGCATTAGGTGCTGATTAAAGGGAGCACTTCTCAGAACAACTCAGATTTTGCTCCTTTTCCTCTGCTTGTCTCCGACTTCAGCAGAGGGGTGCTGTGACAGCAGCCCAGATTTTGCAGTGGATCTGGCAGCTCTTAAGAGGTCGTGAATAAAAGATTCATAGATTTCTAGGTTGGAAAAGACCTTAGAGATCATCGAGTCCAACCATCCCTAATCCCCATTAAACCATATCCCCAAGTAGATCATCCACCCTATTCTTAAACACATCCAGGGATGGGGACTCAACCACCTCCCTGGGCAGCCTATTCCAGTGGCTGACAACCCTTTCAAAGAAGAAATACTTCCCAACATCCAACCTGAATCTCCCCTGACCAAGCTTATACCCATTTCCTCTTGTTCTATCACCCAACACTAATGTAAAGAGCCCTTCCCCCACCTCCCCACCGTCCCTTCTCAAGTATTTGTAGGCTGTAATCGGGTCTCCCCTCAGCCTCCTCTTCTCCAGGCTAAAGATTCTCTTCTCCATTCAAATACATCCATGACCAAGGCTGGTTTGCAAGTGCACAGCGACATTCCTCAATTTCAAACTCTGTTTTAAAGGAATCTTTTTCCCCAGGAGAACGAACGGGACCAGGGTGCAGGTCAGTGCCCTGTTACCTTGCTGTACTCCTCCCAGGAGTTGCTCCAGGTCCAGTAGTGAGCCTTGTAAAGCCCAACTCTCACCGCCATCATCTCGTCGCCACGATAATAGAAGATGGGCCTGGGAAGGAGAGCAAAGCTGCATGAGAAACGCCAGCGTGCCGGGCCGGGCAGCCACCCCCCCCCGCCGCAGGGCCCTCGCCGATAAGGGAGACAAACACTTCAACGGCGTCTGACTTCCGATTCGGCTATCAGTCAGAAACAGGCTGCCTCCTAATAGTCTCCACTGCAAGGTTTTCAATTAACATTTTTTAAAGTGTTCATCAAGTTGAGAGCTCACGGGGCGCAAGAATGAAACATTATACAGCTCGGCTGCCAGTGATTGTTAATCCTTGAACTACCAGACCCTGTTATTTCCTACAGAGTGTGCTGATTTAAACACTAAACGTCTCAGAAGTGGTGGAGGGGGGGGTGTGTGAGACAGAAACGGAGATTCCCAGAATATGGGATGCTTTGCCTTCTCTTTACGGCAGCACCGAGCTATGTGCCGTTAGTAACATTATACAGCTCGGCTGCCAGTGATTGTTAATCCTTGAACTACCAGACCCTGTTATTTCCTACAGAGTGTGCTGATTTAAACACTAAACGTCTCAGAAGTGGTGGAGGGGGGGGTGTGTGAGACAGAAACGGAGATTCCCAGAATATGGGATGCTTTGCCTTCTCTTTACGGCAGCACCGAGCTATGTGCCGTTAGTGCTACATGGCCAGGGAGGACACCAGATGCTGCTCTGGATGATATCTTGGAAAGACTTTGTATGGAAAAACCTGGCAGCCAGACGTGCTTTATTTTTAACTCCTATCTGTTTTCTTTCCCAAAAATCTCCCTTTGCATCATCTAAACACACACCTGAAAACTGCAATTTTTCCCTGGAGATTTTCCTAATTAAAAATACATTTGAGAAATGCACCTCACTGGCAGCGTTTGGTCTGCATCTGTGTACATGCACTACCCTTTCCCTGGGCATCCCAGCATTGCTCCTGTCGGTTTCCTCAATAATACACACTTCCTTTTTTGTTTGTTTTTTTTTTCAGGGAACAGTAGAAAATTTGACCCGAAATGGACTTTCTGCAGGAGAGAGGTTTGATTTGTTGGTGCTGCTCATCACACAAGGCCATCAGCCTTAGTCAGCTCTTCTCTCCGGGTGTTTCAGGCTGCTGACAGGACGAGATCCTGAAGCCATTTATCATTATCAGTAGGGTACATACATCTTTGTCTCTCATTCAGGGATGCCACTCGGCAACAACTACTCACTTGGTGATGCCACCTTGAAAAAACAGTCCCTAAACGCAAGATAAGATTAAAATCTCCACATCAGGAGCAGCCTTAGATCTCTTCTGTTTTAAAATTGTAGCCTTCCCTGCAGGTGCCTCGCACAAACAATGAGCCTTTCTCCTTTGTCACCAGGAACTGCCCAGGAACAAAGGGGGAATGGTGCGGGCAGCAGTGCCCACTCCTGCAGCCTGAGCCCACCTGAGACATCGGTGAAATAACGGCAGCTTAAGAGATCCGCCAAGTGCAGAAACTGATCTAAACCAGTCCCATTAACAAAATAAAAAGCCCAAACAAACGTGCCCCAAAATACACCAGTCTCCTTTTTCCTCGCCATAACACTCACTATTTGACAAGCTATTATGTGTCCCTTTGATTGAAGATGTGAGGGTTAGGTTTTTGCTTTCTTAAAAAAAATATATTTTTCATCTTTGATAAGGATTACAGCTTGTACTCAAAATTCCATCACCAATTTCTTTTTTCCCCATTCAATTTTTCCTTTTCAAGCTTAAAAGAACACAACTGCATCTCCTGGAAAGTTTTTGGGGGCTGTGGAAACTGTGACCTGGTCAGGTCTGAAGGTAAGGAAAAAAAAAAAGAAAAGAAACAAAGAGAAGAAGGAAAAAAATAAGAAGAAAAAAAAAAAGGAAGGAAAAAATAAAGAAGAAAAAAAAGGAGGAAAAAAGGAGGAAAAAAGGAGGAAAAAAGGAGGAAAAAAAAGAAGGAAAAAAGGAGGAAAAAAAAGAAGGAAAAAAAGCAGGAAAAAAAGCCATGATGTGCCTTGAGTGACTGCTATTGTAACACAAAGAGCACCAGTTCCAAGGGGCTGGTGACTCCAGTGAAATTCTCTTTTAAAACAACAAAGCAGCTTTACAAACGTTCAGAAGTAGAGGGCACAGGCGGTGTTTGAGGAACCTGCAACGCCTCATGTCAGTCGTGACTGAGCTCTCAGAAATAATTTTATGGAACAAGGGCTCACATCCAATGCAGAAAAGAACTCAAATATAGTTTTCATGCTTGTGTTTCCTTGCTCCATCACAAAGAACATCTTTGCATTCAGATTTCCCAGGCTGCCAAATTCCTCATCAAAATCACAGCCACAAGACCTCTCTTGACCTCCTACCCTTCCAACCAGAGAGCCGAGGATATTTGCTGTCAGATCTCAGTGCTCGTGCCCAACAGCTGAGAGCACTCCTCCGTGCCCACAAAGATCCCAGGTCTTTAACTCAAATTTATTCTTGCAAAAGCATCCACACAAACAAGACCTTGGGAGGAGATGGGCTTCCAGTTCACCCACAGCAGTGCAGCCTTCACCCCAACCTCTCGCAGGCAGGGGCTATAAAGACCCAGCATACTCTTGGATGTTTTTCCAGTAATAAATAATGTATTCTCCCCTACCCAGGCTACAGTTCCCAGGCTTTTATCTCCCCTAATGCCATATGTTCTTCCAGGGATCCCTGCTAACCCCCTGACATTTTCATCTGTCCCCAGACTCCACTGTATGGCAACATGCCACATGTCAGGAAATCCCACCTCTGCTCGCTCCGCCAGAGAATTAGCACACAGCGAAGAGCTCTGGTGCTACCCCACCTCCCTGAGCAGGAGCAAATGTGCATCAATTGCGTTTATAAAATATTTCTGTAAATGTGATTTAAAAAATAACCCAAAATTTGGCATCGCTTCAAGTTTGGAGGCAAGGGTGGGAGCTCTGGGCTCAGAACTAACCTGTCAATTAGCTTGCCCTGCAAGATGGCAGGTAAAAGGTCGATGCCGTCAATCTGCCTGTCACTGGGAGGCTGCAGTCCTGCCAGGGAGAGGCTGGTGGTGAAGAGATCCATCACGTTGCCCAGCTGATGACTGACCTGAAACATCAACAGAAAAGCATTTGCAAAAAGACCTTCAGTTAAAAGGCAAACTGGAACAGGCTGGTTTCCACCAAAGCGGTCCTGCTTCCCGAACCCCCTTCCCTGCTAAGCATCTTTTGAGGATATCGGTGCTGCAGTCACCAGCAAACCTCCTATTAAAACAATAAAGGAAAGGAGACGATCCGTATTTCTCCACTTCTAGGGAACATTTGCATTTTGATTCATTTTTTCATTTTCCCCTCTTTCTTCTCACTTCTCTCTATATATCGGCTTTACAGGAGCATGTTTTTGCAGCGTTTGACTTAATTTAGCAAATTCATTCGTGGATTGAAAAATCAGCACTTAAACCAAGAAAAAGAAAGCCCTTGATTTGTTCCCTCTCCAGGTCATCTCTGGAGTCCAGAATACCCTGAGAGAGTTCCCAGAAAGCACAGGGATAGATGGATAATAACAAAAAGAGCCTGATGACTTCATCTGCAAACCATTTCCAACAATTCAAGAACTGCAAAGTTGTGGTATTTTTAGTATATATATTAATAAGGGAGAAAAACATCTGGATTTGGCTCCAATGGAGATGTGCAAGCTTTCCGCCCCCCTCCTTGCTTTTTTTTTTTTCTTTTTCCTTCTTCCTTAATTGGAAGCCATACTTATTTCTCTGGTCTTAATTCTTTATATTTGAAAAACCTACAAAGTCTGTTCTGACTCAGAAAAGATTCTTTCTGAATCTCTTCTCCCACCCTGCTCGTGGTACGCTACAGCCATGCACCGTAGGATGTGCAATTAGGCAGCGACGCCCTCGACTGAAGCAGAAACATTCACATCACGAGCAGGGCTGTTTTGCAGCAGGATGCACCAGCACAAGATGTGACATGAAAAGAGCTTTTTCAGCCATAGCACTTGTTGGGAGACAAGAAGCCATCTGATCCAAGCCCACATCTGTAAGTACAGAAGCACGTTCTGACTGAAACCCAAGTCCTAGCAGCAGCCTTGGGAACATCAGTGTGAACATTACGATGCTGGGACTATCAAAGACTTTTTATCTCTGAATCCTCTTTCTATGCACAGACCCCCAGCCTGTAAGCTGACTCTAATTATTTAAATATGACAACAAATGATTACATGATAAATGAATTTCTGCGAGATGCTGGCTCTAGAAAAAAAAAACTGAAGGGAAAATGCTACTTTTGCTGGGACACTAAGCCTTTTATTAAGAGACCGGGCTGAAAAAAGTGAATACAAAGGAAGAATTAACACATTTACAAAAAAAAAATAAAATGGAACTGGAGAAAGCAACATGCAGGGGACTGATTACAAGTTTAACATTACAATATCCCATGGCTTGATTAGAGTAATTTCCAATTTTAATGGCTTTCATTCATCAAAAGGTGTTGGCAGGAACACATAACACTAAAGCTGTGTACAAGAATACTTCCACAACACTTCAGAAGAAATCAAAGTGCAAAACTCTAAGCACAAGAGGAAGCCTGACCATGGAAACCTTTGCCCAGGAAAGCGGTTGGATCAGTTGACCAAGATCAATAGATCATAGAATGGTTTGGGTTGGAAGGGGACCTCAAAGATCATCTAGTTCCAACCCCCCTGCCATGGGCAGGGACACCCTCCACTGCACCAGGTTGCTCAAAGCCTCACCCAACCTGGCCAACACTTCCAGGGATGGGGCAAAGATCTTGCAGAAGGTCTTGGGCATTCGAGGTTAAGCCTTATTTATGGATATTGTCACTATCTACGAGGACAGCCTGTCCTTGTAGGCAGTGAAAAATGGAGATGAGCCCACAAATCCTTCAAAAAAAAGGAGATGTATGCATGAAGTTCCCTCACTGCATGGAGAAAAGGATGGGGGTTCTTCTGCTCCACAGCGTTGGAGAAGGAAACCGAACTGAGCCCTCCGATGAGGTTACCCTGCTTCTCGCTCTCCCCGGGGTTGTTTGGCAAATGTGGACCGCAGAGGAGAAGCAAAGCTGGTTGTGTCATCTACGGGATTAACTGTGGCAGACAGTGCTGCCTGTTTCTTGGAGCATCCCCTTGCACAGGCCCTCCTCTGGTCTCAGATGTGCACTCAAAAAAGACTGATGGTAAAAAACCCAACAGTATAGACCTTTTCAAAAAAACCCACCCCAAAACCAAACCATCAGCTCACTCCTTACAGAGGTGGACAGACCCACGAGCCACTGGTGGTGGAAAAGTGGCTCTCCCTCTGAAGTCCAAGGGGAATACAAGCACTCGGCATCTCGGGGAAGATGCTCAGTCCCTTGCAGGCTCATCTGCCGGCTAATTTAGCCCGAGCGTGCCTTCGGAGAGCTGCGGGGTCAGCAGAACGCCACAGGCAGAGCTGGGGGCTACTAAAGAGGGGATCTGGCACACGCCTGCTCCGTGGCAACGACTACGTCAGGAGCAGGCGGGCAAAGCGGTGTCTGAGATTCTTTGTAATTAGGTCTCTCGCAATTTATAAGGCAAATCCAAAAGTCACTTTTCTTGTCGTCGCTCCATTCCCTCGCCTCAATCTTTTGATAACAGGCAGCAAGAGGCAATGCTGACCTGAGCCTCGTGCCTCTAATATCACCTAATTTATACATCGCCTTGTGACAATCCTGTGGGGCCACCGTGGTCGTCTTGTACTGGCCCTTATTAACCATAACCAGATGTAGATGACTCTCTTTAATCATCCAATTACGTTTCTGGTCTCAGACAACATTTTTCTGTGAAGCAGAGAAAACTTCTTAAGGAAATTAAATGCCCATGCCACAGCCACTTGGATTTATCTGTGCTCTGCAGCACCACATTGAAGAAGGAGGGGGAAAAAAAAAAAGGTTAATATTTATATAAAACTTTGAAGTATTTTCAGAGAAAAATAAAAAAATTACCATTTTCTCCTGTCAACAGTGCTCTTTCATTCTAGTTGCCTTTCCCATATATTTTTTTTTTTTAAGAAAAGAAAAAGAAAAATCCAGAGAGGGCAACAGCCCAGAGAAAATAAATAATATATAAAAAAGACTGAGATCAGATATTGCTCGTATCAGTGAGAAACAGCCGGTATTACGCACGTAAGAACGGATTTTTCCCCCCTCCTTCCCCCCCTTCTTTTTAATAAACTCTCAGTGTACACATAACGTCTTTAAGAAAATGAAATCCTTTTGCTGTGGGCCACGTCGCTAGAAGAAATAGTCACCACTGCTGTTATCAGTGCTTTCAAGCTTTAACTCTGAATCAAAGGCGACAATTAATAAAGTCGCCCCCGCCAGGAATGGAAAGGAGGAAAGCTAAATATTTGAAACTGGGTGAACAAATGTCAGGGTGTTTTTAAATAAAATCCTTTTACAGTTATCACAGCGAGCAGACCTGATATCCCTGTCTAATTCAATTTCAATTTGCGCCCCATGGGAGATAGCGAAGAAAAGGCTGCAACGCTGTCTTTGGGTTGATATGTTCTTTTCTCCTTCAGGAAGCAGGCACGAGAGAGGAAGGGGAGGAGGGTGAGGGAAGAGAGGAGGAGGATTCAAATACCAACAGAATATGATTCTGTTGGGTTGTGGGTTTTTTTTTTTTTCCAGCTGGATCCTTCCAGAAGGCAGATGTGATGTGGGGAATGTTGAAATGCTGATTTGTTGTGAATTCACCTGGAAAACGTAGCTGAGGAGGAAACTGCAGAAAGGCTGCTTGTGTGTGAATAAATATTCCTGGTGGTGGCCAGAATTAACTGAATGTTGATGCCAAGAGCAACACGCACTCCCAAGGCATCCTTCTCCCCCAAAAAGCTGCAAGTCAGCCAACCGCACCGATTATCCTACCCTCTATCTATGTCAAGTGTTCACAATCCTGTCACCTAACTTCTTGTCTTTAAACAAAAAGGTATTCCTTTATTTAAGCAAACAAACATATCTTTTAATAGAAACAAGCAAACCCAATCCTATATATCAACAAGATATTAATAAACTGCCAGATCCCATCAGCAGGATGAGCCTTACACCCAGTAACTGGATTTCACAGGCCAGAGACACAAGTCCTCTTTTTCTGGCTGAAATGCCACCTGAAACGGTCCCTGGCCCTCTGCCTGCTCCTTGAAATGTCCACAGCTGGAAAGGAACAACCATTGCACTGGGAGCAACCCCAGTGCAGGAAGGAGCTGACCCTTCAGCTCAGTGCTTGGCACTCCTGAGAAGCATTTTGCTTCCACCCTGGTTCAGGGCTCCCAAGCCTTTGTTTCCTTCAAGTCTTTTTTCAAAAGAGTGAGCAATGAGAAGCTTTGAAGCAGTTTTCCCACATTTTGCAGCTATTTGGACTACAGAGGACTTAGGCTGACTAGTTTAAACTCGCAGTCAAGATGACGTTGAAGCTACAAACTCTGTAAGATACAGAAAAGAAGCCAAAAATGTGCTAGCAAACCTGTCTCCACTCACTATGTCAGAGGAAGAGGCGATTACGAAGCAGTAACTACGGGTGCCCCACAGACCAACGTAGCGTGAGCCATATTACACAGAAGCAACGCCAAACCTCTCACCTGCGGTCAGTGCTGCTGTGGGTACCAGTGCTGGAGCCTCGATGGCAAGAATACAAGCAAAAAAAGACACATAAGTAGCTATCACGTATTTACTTATCAGTAGCATCACACGGGGGTCTAACTCAGAGCGAAGCAGCACATCCTGGGGCTGGAGTTCAGAACAAGCTTCTCCAGGTACCTGAGTGGAGTCCAAGAGGACATCTGGGAGCGTAACCCCTGCACGTGCAGGCACTTGGCAGGCAGTGGTGTCAACTGGAGCCCAGGACAGGAAGGACTTGAGGTTAAGCACGTGCTTAAGTGCCAAGGATGATGTGAGCAGTGATGGAGGAGGGGATTTTCAGGCGCATGCCTGCCCCAATAAGCCTTAAGCACCCTGAGCATGCGTGGGCTCACGATATACGGCCTGGGTCAGTCCACCCACCTATGCAAAGAGGTGAACTCTGCACAGAAGTGACCCAGGAATTCAAACAGCAGCTTCAGTTGTGGCCTCGAGCAGGAAGCCATGCGTCACACCGCGCTACCACGGAAAGCTTCGCTGCTGCACTACATGCAAAAGACTACCTGTGAGAGGGGTACCAGCCAGTTGCAGTTAGAAAACAAACGGGCACAATGATTTCTCTACTCGTGTTCCTAATCATCCTCAGAGTTACTACAATGGAAAGAATTTTTAAATATGGTATTTACTTGTCCCCGTTTATAATGCATGTTTACTTTTAGCACATTATTCAGTTTGGGCACAGAAAACAAAACAGTCAGCTTCAGTTCCACGTCCTCGTATGCTAGCCCAGGGCTGTTGTACTTGGCTTGCAAAGGCTTTATGGAAACGTTTAAATTTAAACAAAAAGACTGTTTTCATTTCAAATTAAAAAAATAATAAAACATCCCCAGTAGGTTTTGTGAACTCTTTAAAAATGATGAAGCCAAACTACCCTTCTGCCCTCCGCGGCAGATCTAAGCTATCTGATGGCTTCCTCCTAAATGTAAACGATAAATTATCGTTATCCTGACTCAATTAAACCACTGAAAAGGAATGCAACTTCGAAAAATGTTTTATTTATGAATAGTGTGCAGTCTTAAGCACAGTGCCCAGTTAATGAAGTATCACTTTCTTGAGGGATGAGAGACATTCACCAAGGGGAGGGAATCTGTATTATTTACTGTGAACCCTGCCTGCAGAAGAATTGATTGCATCTTTCTTTAATGAGAACTGGGACAAGAGAGGCTGGTAGTGCCACTGGAGGATTATTTTGAAGTGATCATATCTGAATTTGTGTACAGGCAGGAAAGAGCAATAGTCTGGTATCTAGACCTCCCCGAGAGGAACTTTTATCAGACACCAAAGCGAGAGCTGTGAGGGTCAAACCACTTGATACTTCAGGGCACGGAGAGTGTGCAGGGGCAACACGCTCCTGCTCTACACTGGGGCACGCATTAGCAATGTGTCTTTATTCTCCAATTTGTTCAAATATGTAACCCACTAAAAATACTGTGGTCTAAAAGAGTAAAGGGTCTAAACAAAGCAGGAAGACAAGAAGACCAGACCGCTTGGTGCTCACAGAAGTGTTGACCATAGACACTCTAGATGCAAATTTGCAATAACGAACAGGAATGGCATCCTTCTCTAGGGGCAGCATGCAGCTCCTTATTTAGACAAGTGTTTGGACTGACACGTTGGGCATGTTAAAAGTCTGATCTGAAGCCCACTGAAACCAGCAAGAACCACTCCATTCACTTCAGTCCACTTAAGACCGATCAGAATTGTTCAAAGCAGATACTCACCCCTCCTGCAGGTATATGTCCGGGCCACCAAGCAATAGCTGGCTCTCTCATGCCACCTTCAAAGGTGGTTTGTTTGCCACACAGAAAACGACCGTTGCTTCCTCCTAGAGAGAGAGAGGTCATAAAAATTACAATATGCCAATATCACATTTCAAAGGGACATTGTCAGCTAGGAAAGTTTTACGCTAGTTTTAAATGAATTTTCATTTCTGCAGGAATACTTCTTCAAATAACATGTCCAGAATTGTTTGGGGATTTTTTGTTGTTGTTTTGGCTTTTTTTGTTGTTGTATTGGTTATTTCTTTAAATATCTCTTTATGATGAAACTTTAGGAGTGTCTTTTCAGGTCAGGGAGAAAGTGACACTTAAACACAACTTGCTGTCAACCAAACAAAAAAAAAACCAAACAAAACACCCCAAACAAACAGAAAATACTTTGCTGGCATTTTCCCTCCCTTTAAGGACGTTAACTGCTGTTTGTAACTTAAGGAAAACCTGATGCTTTCAGGCAGAAATAATATTTTTTTTCATAATCCTTTTGAAGTACCAGAGCAGTATTAGCTGCAGAGACAAGAATGAGAAAAATAATCATGCATTCCCTGAACGTTCACTCTCAGAGATAGCAAGTGCGTTGCAGGAACGCCTGGGTTTTTAACCCGGCTTGCTGAGGAACAGAGAGGTCTCACGCCTGATGCCAGGTCACACAAAGTCAAACACAGTGGTTCAGCAGAAATCAGAACTCAGGATACTCCCTGCTCTGTGGTCCAATAACCACGAGACAGCCTGCCTCCAAATAGAAGAGAGTGGGTTAGAAAATCAATTTGCAACGTCTCTGTTCGAGAGAAACAATCGTTTAAACAAAAGAAAACTTGAAGTAACAAAAATACTTCTTCTTGTTGCTATTTTTCATGAAAGCTAAAGAAGGAGGGCCTCTTGAACGCTCTGTAATTACTCAGAAAGCTTGAATATGCATTTGGGAGATGGAGAGTAAACACCCTGCTAAGTTATTGTGCCTGGTCCTATATAAATTAAAAAATATTCACCCCCTGACAGTGGAGCACAAAGTGGAATTGCACACAGGTGAACAGCCACTCTGGGTTAGGCCAAAAGTCCCTTTAGCCAAGGACACCTCCAATAGCGACCAGAAGTAACGAACATAAGCTAACTCGAAACGTAAATGCTCTGAATTTTGAGGCTTCTCCTAATTGCATAAGGGAAAACCCCAGGTACAGGTCTCTCTACACCCCGGACATGGAGATTTAAGTCTTGATTTCACAATCCCAGCTCAGGTTTATTCATCTGAGACTCACCTTGCTGAGGAGCTGAAATGAGAGCAGCCCCATTATCAGAGGTGAAAAACACAAAAGTGTTCTCACTGATGCCCAGCTTCTGAAGATGTTTTAGGATTTTTCCAATACTATCATCGATTTCTCGCACAGCATCCCCGTACCTGAGGCAAGAGTAGACGCAAAATATTAAAGGCAGCAAAAGAGGAAAAGTGTCACACAGCATAACGCGTTGCAATCAGCCCCAACGCTTTCAGTGGATGCAATTTACACCTGTGCAGCAGAAATACTTCTCTTATGCATCAGGTACTGTAATAAAGCCTTCCACTGTCACTGCAAAGCCCGTGTCTCCTGCCTGCAAAGGGCAACCTCTCTTGGGTATTAAGAGTCAGAATTCTTTCAGATGTGAGCCACTCTTGGACAGAGACCAGCAACTGGCATAAATTTAGCCAGAAAGTTCTCAAATACAGGCAAAGTCACTTTGCCATAGACTTGAAGCTACTTTTTAAAAACATCCGTTTGCTTACGGATGCTGGTTCCAAACTGCGCTCTCGGAAGCAAAGCTCACAGTATCTACAGAGCTCTTTGCCTCCTGGAAATTGTGTTTTGCATGCATGCTTCTCTACTTGCTGGTCTGATTTGTAGGCTTGTAAAACAGGCATTCATCATACAAAAGCCTTCCAAAAAATAGTCTGTGTCACATACAACTCTTCATTACTCACCCAGCTGGCAAAGCTTAGACTCCCCCTTCTCCTCCATTTTAGCCACATGCTCTTTATTTCAGATTATAGCAAAATTATTAAAGAACAATCCAAGCAAAGGTCTCGCTAACTCATGTATTTAAGCACACACACAGGCTTTTGAGAAATGATCTATATACTTGGATCTAATAAACACTGCTTAGGTTTTGTGTTTCTGCAGCATGAGGTATTCATTACAAAAAAACAACACCCACAAAACCAAGACTTACAGTCCTCTCTGACTAGTGCCCAGGAAATGTTTGGAGGCATAAACAGGAGCGTGGGTAGCATCAATTGCCCAGTATAGAAAGAATGGCTGCTGGCTGGCCTGCTGCTTGCTAATAAAATCGAGAGCTTCCTGTAAATAACAATAAAAATGAATTTAACAGAATCATCTTCTGCCATCTAAATCTCTCAAAAAAAAGGAAGTGTGAAGTCACTGTGGCTTAGAAACCAGTACTAAAATAGACAGTACCTGCAGGTAGATCTGAGTCAAGTTGGCTTTTTTTTTCAATTTTGAAATCCTCGTAATATCTTAAGATAAAATGAATCAGAGATATAAAAAAAAAAATCAATCCTAAGGAATATACAATATAAAAAGCTTTTTTCTCTTTTTTTCTTTTAACTCTGTCTTAGCTCCAGTGCAAGCCACCACCCGGGCCTCGTAAGCCTGGATATTGGCCATCCCCAGACTAGAGGGATAGTCCTGTTCCAAAGTATGAGGGCAAAGCAAGAGAGGAGATCCTGGCACAGGACGTTGTAGAGTCCAGAAATATGAATGGGTTTAGAGAAGAGACAAGACTAGTTCAGAAGATCCAACAGAAGGACCATTCCACGCATCTGTTTTCTTATATCCCTTCTATAAGCATTCACTATTAGTGGTCATCGCAGAGAATAATGGATTAAACGGGTCTTGGGCCTGACCCAGGAGGGCTGTTCATGTGTTTCGTTAACTTTTACAAACATTTTTCCTGCACTGGCTTACTGCTGAACTGCAGGACAGTCAGGGCAATCCGTAGGAAGCATCTCAGGTCATACATGAGGCAGGATATTCCCAATGCTTGACAGGCTATGAAAGTCCTCTGCACAAGGTGAAGCACCTCTAGATCTCTGCACATCCAGCTGATCCTGTAATTCTGATTCTGAAGCAGCTGCTGGTTTTGCCAACCCCTTTTCACCAAAGTGGGTTTGCTAGGCTAGCACTTATCTTCCAGCACTGTAATGTCAGCACGGAAAGCAAATAAAATAAGGTTACCAGGCAAGTGACTGAATTACCTGCCAATCATTTCCCAGTCCCTATACACAGGGATATTGGGGAGCTCTCTGTTATCAAAAGGTCCGAAATGGCAGTTCGGGGATCCAAACCATTCATCAAACCCATGCTTCAGGGGATGGAACTGGGGCCTGTGACCCAGATGCCTAGGAACAAAAGAAACAGATGAGTTAAAATTCTACTGCAAAGAAGCAAATAATATTCTCATCAGAATGGCATGCAAGAAAACAATCTCCCCCTAAGAAGAAAAACTTCAAGCATTTTAATCAAATAAATGACTGCAGAGCGTTGTCCTGATCTTTCTCACACTTGTTGCAAGTGCACCCACTCCAGTGCTTGCATATATCCCATTTTAGTCTCCTGTCAAATCTTTGTTTTCCATTATTTCCTTCTTTTGGTGACTTCTCTCATGCTGCCTCCATGATCTGTACTGATAGACTACGCTGCCCAAAGCCATTGCAAAGATGCACGTGACGTTTTACTTACGGATTCTGATCTATGGTAAGTCACAAGCTGTAAAAAAAACAAGGTAAAGCTCATGAAATGTACCGTTATATCTGCATTCCCTTTATGGAGTAGTCATGCTGCCAAAAGGGTAGAGAGAGACCTGAATGGAGATGGGAATGAGTTCTTTATGTTCATATGTGAACATAAAACACGTTTAGCTGCTACTGATGACAGCTCCATTCTACCATGCAGCTTGAAAATTATCCATCCTTAACTTCAAGATGAAGCTCCTCTCTAATCTCCATCTTCTATACCGCAAATTCTCCACTTCCTTCATTTATGCTATCTTGAATATACAGAATTCCCATCCTCTCCCAGCTTCTAAAGGAGATCTTTGTAGCTTAATGGTTCTGTAACCATTCCAGCTTCCACTCACAAGCCTGCATCTGCAACTTGTCCGTTTTGTGCCATCACCCTCTGCACACTTTCTGAACACAAGGGGCATAAAATGTATTACCTGAAGTAAAATGATCCACGGTGTCATTCTGAGCTACTCCAAAACGAGTTATAACAGAAAATAATCATCATTCCAGCTGTGATCATATCGTGGTGACGTAACTAAAACTGCAAGTCTGACCTGCTGGATTCTACCTCTTCCTCATTTATAAACACGATAACACAAGGCTATTCCTGGCTGTTTCTACCACAGGGGCCATGAAAAAATATTTTATTCTAAGAAAGCCCTAAGAGAACTTGCAGAGGAAGAGACTTGAAAAAGATATCAAATAATTACTGAGACGCTGATTATTCTCTCCCTCTAGCACACAAAAAATAGAGAGATATTTAATGAAATGCAACAAATTCTAAACCGGTCAAGGAAAACACTTGACTTGCAAACATATAATTAAACTGTGGAACTCACTGACACACAACACCCTGAAAAGTTTTTGAAAGGGATCTTGAAAGGATATAAAAATCATCTGCTGGCAAACTTTAAAAAAAAAATAATCTGTAAAAGCCCTAAAATTCTACACATGGCTAGGATGAGACTGCAGTTTAACTACTGTACTTTGCATTTCTTTACACCTTTCTAGGGAGCAGGTGATGTGCACAAATGATAGAAACTGCCACTGCACAGTGTCATTCCCTGGTCCTGTCCAGGATAACAGCTCCTGAGTGCACAACGATCACACACTGCACATTCAGACTCAGTGTGCTTCTTGCTAACAGCTGCAGGTCCTTCCAGATGTGCTGTTTCCCAAATAACTGCCTGGAACCAATGTGTATTTGCGTTGTTTATTTCTTTTCCCTGGGTGTATGAATTTACATTTATTAGCACTGAACTGCATCTTATTGCATTCAGTTCACTGATCCGATTCTTCGTGGCTACTCTGCTGTCTGGATTTGCAGTAATAAATAATTCACTGTCTTAGGTTAGTTTGTTTTCTTTCCAATTTCAGCAGCACCGGTGAATGCAACCACAATTCAAACTCACTCTTCTCTAACTTGTTAACAAAAGTGTTAAATAAATTCTATCCCATTGCTTTCCTGAACAGCGTGCCCCCGATACCACTCCTGTCCGAAGTCTCTTCATTAACAATTACTCTGTCAACCAAGCAGTACTCCTCTGGTGTCTCTGCAGTTTTGAAGCTGCTATTTATGCATTTATTTATTTCTGCACTGTTCCAAACTGTGAATCAACTCTTCAGAGATCTCCAGGCCCCATGGGATTCCATTACAGCCCACAAGCGCGTCTGAAATTCAAATGTTACAAATGCACCAGTTTCAACTGTTACACTGGTAATTCCACCGTGCTTCTTTGATCCACACACCTCTCAGGCTTTTCCCTTCCAATTCTCTGCAGACATCGCAAAACACTGGTTTTTTTTTTCAAAAGTTCTTCTGTTCTTCTACAAAGATTACGCTGTACTTCCATGAAAGTCCATCAAGTCAAAGGACAATATTTGCAGAGTACTGGATCAGCTCTTTAGGTCTTTTAACACACCTGGTATCAACTATCGTGATCAAGTCTACCCCTCTCCACCCTGACCTTCAATGAACAATTTTCAATGTAGCCCTGTAGATGTCTGCATCTCTATTTCTACACCACACACTTTACTCCTCAAAAAGCAGCTTTCACAACTTATTCTACTCTGTTAATAAAAAACCACAATGTATAGCAGAGGCCAAAGATAAGAAACATGTATGTGCTGAAGGAAAGTATCAACAGAACATCCTGGTGTTTTTTGATTAAGTAGTGTGATACATGGATGAAAGCACAAAGAGTGAAGGGTTTATAAATATATATATATACACACACATAAACCACTTCAGCTCTTGGTATGAAGATACATGTATGTACTCGTAATGATAACACTCAATTCAGAAATTGATCACAGCAGGGTGGGGAAGATCCATCACAGATTTCAAAAGTCAGACATCTGAGCTTCAAAACAGTTTTTTTTCCCTCCTGCAGTTCTGGTTGTTCTGCTGCTCCTTCACAATCCGTAAACACACATGCTGAAATCTCAAAGCAAAAGATCTTAAAATAAGTTTACCATTTGCCAATGATCTTATTGATGTAGCCAGCTTTCTTCAGCAATTCTGGAAGCAGTAATTCAGAATCTGGGATTCCTCCTACTATATCCTGTGGCGTGTACGCTGCGGAAAACAAACAATTTTTTCTGAGTCTTACAAATATTAGAGCAAACAGCTCATGGCTACCCATCATTAGGAGCATTATTACTGGATCAGAAAGAGCAATTAGTTTGCAGTCTCAGCAATATGACTCTTTGGAAGCCCTCCCAGGCCACAAGATGAAGATAACAAGTTGATTCAGGGAGATGAAAGGGAGATCTCCACCCGCTCGGACACCCCAGCCAAAATCCAAAGGGGGCTGCCACGGCAGAATGAAGGTGAGACCCTTGAAGGGGCGGGAGGGGGCAGTCATTAAAAAAGCAAGGTGTGCACTGGAGATGCCTTTACTCTTGCAAATTTGCTTCATATTTTCTAAAATGAAGGCATTTTTTTTGTAAATGAAATGATTGACAAACTTGCTCAGACTGCAAGAGCTGGAAGAAATTATATGTCTCTCACAGTCCACAGTTCTCTAGCCCTTGAGAGTCTAAGGTGTGACTTTTGCTAGGATGGAGACAGCCAGCACTGACATGCAGTGGGACGTAGCTGCTGATTCTTGCCCGAGCACGCACGGGCTCACTGCTGTCTGTCACGCTGGAACCCAAATCAACCCAGAAACATTACAAACTGGTCACCTTCCCTGGAAGCACCATGGGCACGACAGTGCTATAAAACTGCCAAGGCTGAAACAGTTAGAAAACTGGCTGCTGAACGAAACTGTACGCAGCTCGCTCTTTACTCCGGGTGTTAACATACACCCCACGTGACTTTCTTTCACCAGACACCAATTAGACCGCCCAGAGGAAACACTTCGCAGCCAGCAGAAGCAAATGGATCAACCAGCCTTGTTTATGTCTCTTAATTTGAGGAGGTTTTCTGCTTGATGAGGAGGAAGCAATAAATTTCACGCTTATTACCAGCAGTTAACATGGTAATCTTTTTGTGCCACTCTGGAAGATCCATAGGGGAAGATCACCGAGCCAAGCCTGTGTTCAGAGCAAAGCTTCCTACAGAGCACAGAGGGAAATCAAGAGAGGAAGGCAAATCAGGAATGAAGCCCATACCGTTTCTGGCGTGTGCATTCGTGGTGTAAAAACCATTCCTGACTGGGAGACGGCCCGTCAACAGTGCTGCCCTTGCTGCAAATAACAACAAAAACTGTTTTATTTTACATGCATTCTCTGCTTAATGTTAATATTATCACATCAAGGCTGAGGACAGTGCATTGACTGTGCCCTTTTGCCACAGCCAGCTACTAAGATCGCCCACACCAGGACAGGCAGCAACTCCTCTCTCCAGTGCCATGGAGATAGTCAGGTACTGATGTGACACCATCTGAGTTATTCCAGGACAAACCCGACTGAAGTTTGGCCCCTCTATTAAGTTACCCACTGCTGAAGAATAATTACTTTCAACAGCCAATGTAGCAGCCCTTCTATCTCAATAATTACAAAAGGAATATCTGACATCTATATGTAAGAGGAAATTGTAACACAAACTGATCACATGCTTAAGGGTAAGTTTTCAAGCTCAAAAAAAAAAGTCATGTAACAGCAAAGAAAGAGCTGTCCCGCTTGGACGATAAAAGTCAGGTCCTGACTGCAGGAAACTTTTAAACAGATGTTTAACTTCAAGCATATGCAGTGCCACCACTGGACTTAGCGGGACTTTGGCATATTTTAAATGCCTTTTCTGAGCAAGGACGTCACCAGCATACTGACAAATGTTATCCGAAATGAAAGCACAAATAAAAAGCCCCTCTTGCTCATTTTTGTTTCCGTTCTCAGCTGCCAATCAGGTTTGAGGAAAAAGAATGAATAAAAAAACCCAAACACCTCACAGAAAAAACAATAAGGATAAAAATATCTGTGTCTGCCACATCCAAACATTTCTTTTATCTCTTGTCCCTTCCCCAAGAATCTTGCAAGCCACCGGGGTCAAAAGCAGGACACAACCTGCTGCCGTTCCTCGCAGGAAAGTCTCACCAAAGCCAATGGAATCAGACAAACTACATACAAACCATGTCCAGCAACAATTTAGATACTGCTCTGTCTGTTTATGTCAAGATAAGAAAGATGAAAAAAACGCAATGACTGAGGCTGGAATACTAAAACAGAGCGTTTTTTAAAAATCCTTTAGCTGGACTGATTTGATCACTAAAACACTGCTTTGTATGAACCGAAGATTGTAGGTTTTCCAATCAAAACGTAAATAAAAAGGGAGCGAAATGCAAGATCAAAGCACCAAATCCAAATTCTGCCCTGAGGGTAATCGCTGGTTTGGTTGCTAGTTCATGTCAGATGCTGGCAAACGTCCTAATCTTCTCAGGAGGCGGCATGTTTATTTGCTAGCTTAAAACTCAAGTTTACTTACACGGAGAACAGAGGGGGCTGGCAGTGTAAAAATCCAGGAAAAGCATCCCTTCTGAAGCCATCTGGTCTAAGTTAGGAGTTTCTTTAGAAGGCTCTCCGAAAGCTCCCAAATCGCCCCAACCCATCTGCAAAAGGAACACACCAAAGGACGTAAAAGTACTTTCACTCTTCCACAACGACAATGCTTCTGGGCCCACATAACACTTTTATTGTAACCCTTTCTAGTGCTCAGCTCCTTATTTAGGGAGTACTTCACAAACGTGATAAAAATCATCTTCCCCAACTCCGTGAAGCAGGAAACTATTACAGTTTTCACTGGCAAATGGGAAACAGAGGCACAAGTGGGATTAAATGACTTGCTAACAGGCATTAAAGTGTAGCAGAACTGGGTTAAGAACTCTGATGCCTTCACTCTTACTCAAGTGCCTGCACCAGGGAGGAAAAGGAAGTTACACATGACACGCTTAGTGTCGTACAGCTGCAAAGTCTGCCCCTTCAGTCCCTGGCTACGTGTCTTTGTGTTGGACCATTGACCCCAGGGCTCCACCTCAGCCTGCTGCATCCATCTATCCATCCATCTGCGTGTACGTAACTAGAAACGCGAGGAAAAGGTCTAAACTCACAAGCAGTGCTGCTGGAAAAGAAAGTGTTTATTTTAAAAGCAAGCTCTGGAGAGAAACCTGCCAGAGGCAGCGTGTGTCACTCTGCTTATTTGCAAGGCAGTGGTTTCACCCCGCGTCTTCCTCCCGATTCAGAGAGGTCACACACCAGGAGAACCGTAAAATTACCATCGCGTTGTCTTGGTTCATTGCTGAACACTATTACGGGTAATAATACAAATAAAAGTAAGTGACTTGAAACAGAAGGTTCTAGAAGGGAATGACTTAATGAGCAATTAGGCACCGTGGCTGCTAGGGATTATATTATGCTTTAAAAAAGGCAATATCTTTAATACAGATGCGTATCAGGTGAGCAACTGATACGGAGGGCGTAATGTATCGAGATCTTTAGAAAACCATCTGCCTGGTCCCATTTGAGAGTCTAACATTTACACTGCAGCGGTGCAGTTTGGAAAAGAAAATCGTTGGAGAGCTGCAGAGCCGGCTGTGGAGGTTTGAGCAAGAAGCAATTCAATGGTACCACCCAACACCAGGTTGTGGAATTAAACAGATTTGATGGGATCACCACCGAGTCCTCGATTCTTCAGTACCTTTATCATCAAGGAAGAAAGAAAAAAAGAATATCATGTTGCTCTAATTCATATAGTGACAGAGTCTCAGAAGTTACTGAAGGATCAAAAAGACCATGGAGATGTATTTTTAATGAACAGCATATTAAACAAATAAATAGTTCACAGAAACTCCAGCCAGGGTCTGCGCCCCATCACGTCTCGTGCTGTACCAACACTTCTAGAGCGGGATAATCACTGTCCCAAGGAGCTTTCATCTGGAAAATTACAAATGCCAGCTTGGGGGTAGAAATATTCCTGAATGGAAAATTGAGACGGACTGCCGGCGGCTCAACTGGCCAGAAAAACCAGGCTGACGAGGTAATTATCTTGTACAGGAGTGCAGAAACATTATGGAAACAACAGCAAGACGGTCGTGTTGGATGGGCAGAACGGGGCCCAACAGGCGACAGGAGCTTGCCTCGAGTCACCCCCCACCCTCACCAGCTTTTCCAGCAGCTTAAAATGGCACAGAACGCATTTCCACTGCAGGCACACCCAAAAGGTGGCGGGAGAATATCAGAAAAGAAGCAAAACAGGAAAGTGGCAGCAACTTGAACCCATTGGAAATGAAAGTATTTCGTTACCCATGTGGCTTAGACCACTGCAGGGTACAAAAGCAAAAAGACGTTTAGTTGGAAACAAACCTGTGATTACTTCCACCCTCCGATGATTTATTGCCTCCCTTCTCCCCGCTCCAGTTTAGAAAGCAAAAATTAGCAGAATTAGTCTTCTTCTTGCTTAGTTTTTCAGGAGGCAAGTTTGGGTTTCTAAAACATTTCCTGAAATGTTTTACATTCCTACATTTCTACAACTAATCCATCGCTGGTGTTAGAAAATATCACCACTACTATTTTTGTAGGCTACAAAACCAAGCCTTAACTTCAGAATGAGTCTATTAAGGTTTGAAAATCACCAAGACACCCTGTTTTTCAACATTTCCCACAAGGAAATTTCCTTCCACAAGGACTGTGGAGTTAATTGCTCAGTCATTAGGAATAGGCTGGTAGATAAGGTGATTAAGCTTCTAGATAAGGTATGTAGGTGTGTAAGCAGTAATTCCAAAAGACTTGCACACGGGCTTGGCTTTCTAGCTCTGAGAAGTCTCATTTGTTTTCACCAGGATATCCACACGCAAGGAATATCGAGAGGTTTGTGCTAATACTGCATTGTCTCCAGCTCAGGTCACCTAGAGCAGCTCTGCCCTGGACGAGGGACAGGGCAGGGATATGCAGGGCCTGGGCCTTCCTTTTGGTTCTTCACCACTTTTTATACAAAATCTGTAAAGGACTAGAGAAAGCAAGCAACAGAGCATGACGGCTTTCAGAGTAAAAGGTATTCAAATATTCCTGCTTCTTTCAAATTTTTCCAGATCACCACATCAGCCTGGGAGCTGAGCCTGAATCACTGTGCTGAAGACCTCTGACCATGAACCACGGTGCAGACCCCGTTCCCCAGCTATCCCACAGGCGCTGGCCCACTGACAAAGGGAACAGATGATGTGGGAACCTGGAAACTGTGACCTAGAGGGGATCGTACACACCAGAGAGAGCTCGGCTCTGCAGGAGTCAGCAAGACAAAGCTCTAGGGAGCACAAAAAAAAAGCAAATAAATGCTCAAGGCACGCTCTCAAGACACAAGTCTTGCCAGGCCCAAAACCAGCCCTTGATGTGCTCTTAGGAGGATGTCCAGAAAAAGAGCAATTCCCAGGATAAGGCTCATGGGGAACCAGCTTGATGAAACTTCTGTTTAAAGGCCTCTCTCTGCCTCAGCATCAGTACAGCTTTGGACCCACTCACGCACCACGACGCT